AACATATATCGTCTGAATTCAAACGTCGTCTGTTTTCGCCATTTTAATTTAAATTAGCATGTGACGTTTAACCCACTCTGTTAGTTACTTTCGATTCCGCGAAAAAAATAGTTCCAAACGTTATTCATTTAAGTTACGTCTAACAATCTTTGATGGCGTAGAACGTTTGGTCAAAAATGTATAAAAGGCAATTAATCTCGTATTAATGTCAATAAAGAAAATGTCATACATTCATGTGTAACATCATTTCGCGGAATGTCTTTGCCATGACGTCATTGTCAATAAGAACTACTTTCTAGAGAGCCTGATCAATGTTACAAACATGTCTACTGCTAAATTATTAATGTGTTTTCCAAAAATAAAAGCTTTGCAATAATACAGATTTCCTGTGCACAATTAGTCGCAATAGTAATGGAGTAACCCTTTTTGGTAAATTGGTTCAGCTGCCAGTAATTCGATACCCACTTTTTTTTCCAAAAAACATTGAATACTAGTTTCTTTTGTATTATTTTATGTGACGGTTGATAACGACGATAATTGCTCGGTAAAGGGCAGAGATAAAAAAAAAAAAAGATGTACGTTGACCACTTTAAGATGTTAGAGACAACATGAATGTTTATTGTGGTGCCTAGAAATCGCTGTTAAATTGATATTTTCTTCATATTATATTATTTTAGTCTTTCTCAGAAGCAGATTTTCAGTCACCGTGACATTGTTTCAAATTAATGTTGATGACATAAACTTGAACAAAAAGAAAGAACAATGAGAAAACTTGTCAGCGATATTTGCATTGTTATGAGTTCACATGAAAAAAAGAAAATCTTTTCGATTACAATATTCTATTAGTGTTTTAAAAAGCTTGTGGTCGTCGCGCAGCGCGTGTTCGAATTCCATGTAAATAAACAATATATTTTACACGCGTTGTGTACGTCGCTATGAGTCCCATATCGAACAGGACGCGGAGCGACGACCACCGCCCTTTAACCTAGAGGATTGTAGTTGGTTTGAGTCACAATCATTGGCGTTTAAGGGAAACAAAAGCATGTGTATTGACTTACTCATAACTAAAATTAGTTTGGATCAATAATTGATACATTTTTGTACTCAACAATTAAACATTTTATTTTAGAGGTCAAGTTCGACGAAAAACCTTGACGTAACCTGAATTGTATATAATTTGACATTTTTCAATTCAAATGGCCACTAAGCAGGCATGGTTTAACGCTGTGGGACAAATGGGTAAAACAAATAGTTCGTCTAATCTTCTAATTACTGTTTCCATGGTAAAAGCATATTATGGTGAAATGTGATCGGCAACGTGGACTGAAAAACTCGTATATTTTTATTGAAGCGAATCCTAATACAAACATATTTGATTTAATTTTCAGTAACTTAAAATAAAGAAACATAATATTTTCCCACGAATGTAGACATCGAATAAAAACCTTATACAACAAACGAGTCAATTATATATTTTAACCATATCATGTTGACATGTTTTTGGCATTATTGTTTCAAGTTGTAATGGTGATAACTTGTTTTTTATCATAAGACTTTATATACATAGACTATTTATACAAATAAGTTGCTGCTTATGTCAAAGGTCAAGACAATATCGTACAGACAGATATCTTGTAACGTATGACGGCAACGTCCACTCGCTGCATGATATTTTTACTGAGCTGTGACGTGACCTGACCTGTTTACTGTACATGTACCTGCCAATCGTTTTGAAAAGGGCGTACAGGTATATAGGCTGGTTGATTATACAAACCTTTGCATAATTCCCAACAAAATCCCCTTTTAATTTCCTAACAAAATGTGAGTTCCTAATGTTAGAGAAGGTCTCATCGTTTTGTTTTATTTTGTTAAATTAGTATGTCTCCCATGTAATCAAATAACAAATACAGTATTAAATCTTTAAAGCAACTTATAGGGAAACCACTATAGATTTAAGTACATCAACCCGTGAATATGTAGATTTCTAAAGTCAACTTATAGATTATGTATATATCGGTTTACCGATGCAGAACGCAAATAAAACATAATTTCTGTAGATTATATGTAGTGCACTTATTGTGTGACAACGGTTTATTGCGTCCAGTGAGAACACCACACCACATATACCAACCCGAACTGTAACAGTATGTACTGTAAGATGCTTTATTTTAGCTGGAATTAATTTTCTCTGAAAGACATTTTGACTGTTTTGTATAAAGTTTTTATTGGATTACACTTTAACTTAGTACTTCAGCGAAAATAACGAAGTGAATATTAAATATTTTACATTATTGATTTTATGAGTTTTACCCTGTGTTCCATAGAATACACAGAATATAATAAACTGTGTATGTTAACATTCAGTATATTACAAAATTAATGTATTATGTTGTTTGCAAAAACATTTTCAGTTCATGATAAATTATACAATCCAATCAACATACAGTATCACAATCATGGTAAACATTCTCGTCCATAGTGCATCTAAAACATTGTTACAGTAAATCGTTTTCACTTCACTTAGACAGAAATCACAGGGGAGTTCGTGTTTTCCGAAAGTTATGTATATAAAAACATATGACCCCCCCCCCCAAAAAAAATGCGTGACATAAGATGACCTCACCCCAGTCAGTTAAATGTTGGTTTTAATGATTACCATAATGTAAACCAATATGTTATTAACCGCATTGTTATTTAAACTTATTTAAATTGTAAGTCACATAATATGATTATCATACACTTGTGGTTTTAACTTTTTAACCTTTTCGAAGTTGTGTTAACAAATACAATACAACCCACACATAATAATAGTATCTCACCATCAGTATTTATTAAAATTACACGTACTATGTTGGGTACACCACGGTTACTCTTTTTTAGTAACCGTGGGTAGACTGGCAAAGTCGGGACTTCTTTTTTGTTTTACACAAAGGAATAATAAATTGTTCTTTTAGTCCTTTTAGCGTGATCGCAAAAACTAACTTGACCGCTAAAGAAATCCCAGTTGGGTTATCATGTATTGATTACCACATGGCCGTGTATTTATAAAATTTGGGATTGCTTTTACCCGACATCTGATTAATTTTCAAAACTTTTAACTGCGGGGTTCGGTAGGACAAATACTTGGGGTATATTTGCAATAAGGTCTACCAACTTTTCAATCACTTTTCACAACTTTGGACGCTGTTTAAAATTATACATTCACTTCGTATAATCGCCTATTTATATATTTTGTGATTGCTTTCAATTTTCTAACGTTTAACTGAGGGGGTTCAGCAGCGGAAACACTTTCAGTTGGGAACATTGCAAACAAATCCAGACATTTTGCAATCGCTTTACACAACTTTGTTACACAACACTATTTCTTAACTTTATACATTCAGTTCGTATTCAAATAAAATAACCAGCTAGCATGAGACTTTAAGTGCAAGTCTAGGCGCTGCTTTTTTTACTCATTAATAAACATACTTATTTGAATTATGTGTGATAAAATTTGTCATTCTTACACATGCAACTATGGAAAAGAACACGCAAACTGGTATCATTCCTACCATACAACAAAACCCAGTATAAACAAATCCATATTTAAGATGATGTTCTGAACCATCAACAATGCGTCAGGTCTTCTTCCGATGACACCATTCCAAAACTTATAGTCCAAACCAACAAAACAAACCTTACATTCACACATAGTTTCAACTAAAGCGCAACTGAAAAGGTCTTCGTTTTTTTCGGTGAGAGTGCATGCATTTAACTTGCATATGACATATCACGCTATCACGTCATTATGTGGCCGATGCATGGCAAATGCTGAATGCAAAATCAAACAGACCATATTCGATAGTGATGGTAGCCTGGTGTTCGTCTTCACTTTCTAACTCGATTTGTCTATACAATTTTCAACAAATGATACCATGTAGGTTACACCTAGAAGTGTAAACTTTACCAAACTGTATGCTAATTAGATACAGTTAATAGTTATTTGATTTGCAGTGTAAACGTGCTTTCGTGTGCACACAAAATGTTGTGATTCTCGCTTATTTTACTGCCTTGATTAGTGTAGCCCTCCCACTGTCGCTTGTACAAAAATCGGTGACCCTAAAAAAACACCAACCCTCCTTCTTGTATTTTTTGTCCAGCTCCTTACACTGCATGGTGTAATTGAAACACATATCATGATTGCCATGACTACCATCATGGTGTTCATGGTAATAAAAATAGTGATGATATGACATCCATGGGAGTGACATAGTGTGACTTCTATCTTTAAATGTTACAATTTTATCATTTTAATTTATTTGTAGATTTACGACTTACGAATTATGTAATAGTCAATCTAATGAAGGCAAGCATTCAGTTGTGATTTAATAAATTATCTGGGTCGTATCGAGGATACACGTAGGGGCCGCGAGTCTGTAAAGCTTCAGCAATAGCTACAACTCTCTAAATATTTGGTGCATGTGGCTGTGAATATTCAAAACAAACCTTTGGAACCCACCAGTAAAAAAAACAGTTGCCTGTGTCTAAAAAACTATTCGTGAAATGCACCCTTTGTGAATTAAAAAATATAATGCCCCACACTTTACTAACGTGCCAGTGCCGAAACAAGTCTTTAAATTGAGGTGAGATTGAAACCTTTTTCTTATTACTTCGTGTTTTCATTTGCCCATCGTCCGAATAGCACAGTTTCGCTAAACCCGGCCCACTAATGTTGAAGCTTCGGCCGAATAAATGATCCTTGGCTGGCGAATATGTCATTTGCCCAGAAACAATGTATTGATGTTTATTTTATTATTTATTTCATTAGTTTTCTTTACAGTCAGTTTTGAATATTATATCACAACAGTGACATTCAAGGTCGCAAGGCACAATTAAAATTGGAGTATGATTTATCGTAAACTAAATGCACATCCTAAGCACTGTGTCCATATAAACACTTTTGTGTCCGTTTCGTTATCGCGCCCTCATGAGGCGTAAGTTTGTTATTGTGCAATAACAAGATGGCTGCCACCGTGTCTGTCGAAAGTGCTGCCGATGATCAGAAGGAAACCACCGCACAAGAACCTGCGACGTTCAAGTCTTTGGTGAGTATGTATCACTGGAACCAGCATGATGTACAGGTGGACATAATACGTAAAATGTTCTGTTGTTTGTGACCGTGTGTACTGTCAAATCCGATGTGTTTTTCCGGTCGGGTATGCTGGGCATGGCGCATTGACGCTGCAGGTCGGCGTCTTCTACACCGATCTGACGCATATCACGCAAGGTGTGCCGGGAGTTTGTTCGAAACTTCGAACGTTTTTTAGTCAGTCGTCGGTTAGCACGTATTTTACGGATATATGAAATCGTTTCATGTGCCTGTTTACTAAATAATGATAAATGAAACTTAGAAAACTTGTAAGAACAAACTGGGCCTAAATTGCGCAAATTGCAATAAGTTTACGCTGCTATAGAGTCTGGGGCACGGATCTAGAAGCCGTACCTACACACGAATTGGTGACGTCACAAAATACATGACCTTCAATCGGGGTCGTTTCCTTGGTATATACGAATTGGTATATACAAATTACAATAAAGATACTTACGACATACACAT